GGGGGGGGGGAATGCCACCTGTAAAACATCTTATACAAATTTTCTTTATATACTGTTGACATTGTCATTTTATAATTTTGAGACCACAATTTTTGCCATTTCTCTAAATCAATCCCATATCCAAAATTCTTCCCCCAAGCAATCATAGTTTCTTTAACTTGTTCTTCTTCTAGTTTAATTTCTAATAAATATCCATATAATTTTTTAATCACCTTTTCATCAGTACCTGTCAAAATCTTATCTAAGTCAGTCAATTTATCATAGAAACCTTGTTTTAGAATCTTTATCATACCTTGAATGTATTTGCGCATATGAAAACCAATTCATCTTTATACCTTGTTCCTCTAGTTTTTGCATAGATTTAAGTTCACCCTTTTCATTCAATATTTCACCATATCTAACTGTTTGTTCTTTTTTGTATATTATGGGATAAGAAAATGCTTCAATAGTCGATAGCCAGACTGGAATTTTCAAATAACATTGTCTTTTAATCTTCTCCCAGTTTAACCACAGAGACTCCCATATATAATGTTTTCTAAAATACCCCTGTGTTTTAGTTCCTTTATACCATAAAAAAGCATGCCACCCCAACAACAAATCATGTCCTTCTAATGTCAACAATCTAGTATTTCTTAGTGTTATCCATTCCTTAACCCACATCAGATTTGTAGATTGGTAGTACAACTCCCAATTAGGCAAACCAAATCCTCCTCTAATTCTAGCATGGTAAAAAGTTTTAACTTTATTCTTGCTTTCTTACCTTGCCATATGTATTTCAACACAATTTTATTTAAATCTTCAAAGTAGTCTTTTCCAAGCCTAATTGGAATTGTTTGAAACAAATATAAAATTCTGGGTAATATATTCATCCTGGTTGTTAATGACAGTTGTAAATTTTCCCATTTCGCCAAATCTAGCACTATCTGCTGTTTAAGTTTAATATAATTATTCTCTTTTAATGTACTACATCTTGCTATCAGATATATCTCCAAGTACTTAATCTTATTCGTGACCTGAATTTTCAATAGGTCTGCCAGTTCTCCTTTTGTCTTAATAGCATATTCTTTGTCAAGATCTTTGTCTTATCTTTATTTATTTTCAAACCAGCCACCTTTCCATATGTCTCTATCTTTCCTATCAATTTTGATGCTGTTTCTAAAGGGTCTTCTAAGATGAAAACCAGATCATCCGCAAATGCTTGCAGCTTAAATTCTTCCTTTTTGATCTTCATTCCTTTTATATTATTTTCATCTCTAATATTTCTGTTTAGCACTTCCAAAGTTAACACAAACAACAAAGGTGATAGTGGGCACCCTTGTCTTGTTCCTTTTCTTATATTGATAGAGTCTGTCAGTTCTCCCTCTATCATTACTTTTGCTGTTTGCTTATAGTATATAGCTTCTATTGCTTGAATACATTTTCTAGCAAAACCCATCTGTTCCAACAGTAATAACATGAATCGCCAATTCACATTATCAAATGCCTTCTGTGCATCTAGAAATATTAGAGTCATTTGTTTTTCAGGATGTGCCTCGTAGTATTCCAAGGTGTCCAAGATTACTCTTATATTGTCTTTAATTTGTCTCTTTGGCAGAAATCCATTTTGATCAGGATGGATAAAATTATTTAAATATTTTTTAAGTCTTTCTGCCAATATTGAAGCAAAGATTTTATAATCTGCATTTAGTAGAGAAATGGGTTTATAGTTCTTAATTTGTAATGGGTCGGCCTCCTCTTTTGGAATAAGTGTAATATCGGCTTCTGACCATGATTTCGGTATCTTCTTCTTTAGCATAACTTCATTCATAACTTCTAGCAATGGGAGATTCAACGATTCTTGTAATGTTTTATAAAATTCTGCCGGAAGTTCATCTGGGCCTGGTGCCTTTCCATTATTTTGCTTCTTGAGTGCTTCAGTTAACTCCATCATTGTTATATTGCTTTCTAACATTTTTTCAGTCTCTTTAGGTATCTGAGGTAAATTAGCATTCTGTAAGTACTGTTTAACTCTTTCCTCATCAATATTCTCTTGGAAAAATGATTTCCCTTAGAAGTCTCGAATGATTTCCTTCTTCTCTTTGCTACCATGGCAAACTTGGCCTTGGTCATCTATTAATTGCAATATTTTCCTTGATTCTTTCTCCTTTCTCAATTTGTATGCTAACCATCTACCTGGTTTGTTTGCGTTTTCAAAGTAGTTCTGTTTAGCACCTCTAATTTTCTATGCTAATTCTTTTTTTTCTATTTGACCCATTTTGTGTTTAATTATATCTATTTTTAGCTTGATGTCCTTTTTCTGTGGCATTTTCTGTATCTCTTTTTCAAGTCTTTTATGCTCATCCTCTAGGACCTTGGAGGCTAGTCTTTTCATAGTATTCCTTTTCCTTGTATAGTCTATTATCAAGCCTCTAACATATGCCTTCATTGTATCCCATACATTCTGAATTGCTGTATCTTCTTTTTTGTTTTCTCTAAAGAAAAAAGCCAAATTTTCTCCATCCACTGTGTGAAATCTTTGGGGGCGGAGCTGGCGTTGTGACGATACAGCATGCGATCTTGGAGGCCTGAGATCGCTGCCAATATCTTTGCTCCTGGACAGTCCTATTGGATCTAAACTGTCCTGAAGAGACGGCGAAAGTGAAGAGCGCATCCTGTCAATCCCAGGGATACTGCAAAGTCCCTGGTAGATCCAGGAGAAGCTCTTCTTGCCAGGGGCAAAGAAGCAGCCATTAAAGCTGCTGAAGTTGAGACAGCTCCGAAACGGAAGAGAGCAGAAAGAGAGAGTGTGCCAGTTTGGTGAGAACATTTTTTTATTCTAAGATCTGAAAGGACACCCTAAGGAAAAGAAATAATTTGTAAAAGTTTTGACAGAAGTGATTAAGTGGTGATTTTAAACAGGAATGTGAAAGTAATGTTTTTTTTTTTCATTGCTGGATTTTCTATATATGATGTTGTATTTTGAAACTGGACTGGTTTTTTCATTTATATCTATTTTTTTCTTCTCCTTTTTGATTTTGTAATATTTTAGGCTAGAGGCTCCCTTTAGTTATTTCATTTTAAAAAAATATCTTTTTCTTTCTTTTTTATTAATTCTTATTATATCCTGCTCGGAAAAGGAGGGGGAAAGTGAGAGCAAAGAAACTTTGTAACACTGCCAATTAGAGACTTGAAAATATTCTATTTCCCTGTGACCAGACAAAGCTGAGAAAGAAAGAACTGAGACTCTTTTTCAAGGACATTGTTATTTGATAAGATAGAGGAAAGAGCATGGGAGAGTATTATTGCAGGTGCTCTTCTGGGTTTCTATCAACAGCTGGAGTATGGTGTTGAAACGTAGGGGGGAAAAGAGTGATAAGTTTTTGGAGAAGAGAGTTATAATAAGAGCCTTGGATAATTAAAGTGCAGTGTGCCCTTTTTACTTTTTCTAAGTTGTGCTATCCCTCCTCACCAGCTTTATTGTATTTCTTTTTATCTTTTTTTGTAATAACTATATGGGTTTTTGGCTTTGTTGGAGCTTGTCTTTGTTTTTCTTTTTTTCTTTGGAAGTCCAATCTCTATGTTTGCCTTTTATTTTAAAGGGAAAGCCTTAAAAGCCTTTTTTGTTCCTTTCCTGGTATTTTTGTTTTTTCATCTACCTTTCTGGTTTATTCTTATGCACTTTTTTCTATTTGAGACCTTTCAATTGGATTAAGGTGTTGAAGAACCTGAAGAATTTTTCCTTTTCCTTTTTTTCTTTTTCTCTTAAGTCCTTTTCTTCATCTAACTATTGATTGGATTAAGGTATACAAGACTTCATAATTGGATTAAGGTTTAGAAGAACCTGAAGATTTTGAATTGCTTAAAATGAGTAGGAAATTTACAGCTCCTGGTTCTTCAACTTCTACTTCTTCCTCTCCACCATCTGGAGGACA